ATTAGCGCTAGTGGTGGTGGTGATGCGGGGTCTAATTTAATTCACCAGCAACCAGTTCTAGCTTACATTAATGCAGCTTAATAAAAGACTATTCAATTAGCTAAAGAGCTCCTTGTGCTGTGCAGAAAGAGTGACGATTGTCAGTGATGGACCCACAAACTCCAATTAGGCTCAGTGTCATTCTCACATAAACAATACCAAGTTGGCTGAGGCAAAATAGAGGGAAGAACTGAGGAGACGACAACACTGTGGGGCGACTGGGTTGAAAACTAGACACATTACAGGGAAAACAGCTGGTATATGTGACAAACCTTTAGATTCAAGGAAAGTATGGGACTTAAACTCATCACCATTATGGCAATAGTTTGTCAGAACCCGACAAGTCGGCTAGATTAGAAGGAAAAGCTGACAAACACCACATCCAAAATGAGCGAAGGAAGATGTTGACGAGAAGCTAAGATACCAAACCAGTCTCTGCAACTGACAGTCAAACTTATCTGCAGCTTAAGTTAACAGCTCAAATAAAGTTTGCATGTTGGCAGACAAAAAAAGGAAAAAAAACAACACAATCCCCCCTGTGTAGCAACATGTCGTGCTGTACTTGGGCCCAGTAATTGTGTGGAAATCAATAGCGGCGCATTGAGAGCGGTCTAACCATCGTCTAACCTTGCACCATGCAGCTGTTTTCCCCAATCAAAGCCGGCCCGGTTTCCACAGCAACCTCAATCCCACATCTTCCACATTAATAAAAAGAGAGAAAGAAAAGCCATGGCACTTGGAGGTGTGGGGCTGGAAAGGAACTGGCTGAGAGGGAGGATGGGGGCTCAGATGAGCCTTGTGTTCAGCGATGAGACTCAATCAGATTTAACAAATCCAGCTTCCTTAAAATAAAAAAATAAAAAACACCCCCCCCCCCGCAACGCCAACACAGAGATAGTGTTTATATTATTTCAGTGACAAGCCCCATTCAGAACATCTCATAAAGCCTATTCTTCCTTTTTTCACCTATTGCTCTCTCTTATTCAATATATTTGCAGAATATCCCTGATACTTCTGTAATTCAAGGTATTTAATTAAAGGGGATGGGTTTCTAATAAAAGCCAAATGGCAGATAGCAGTGCTTGGGCTCTTCAGTAGCTTGTTTAATCAGAGAATTGCTGAATGGGAGAGAAGGCAATAACAGAATGAATAGAAGCTGGTATTTGTAAAGAAATGTCAGGCAGAGAGGAAGGATATCAGAGTCAGGCGGAAACCTTTAATATGACGCTGGCTTTAATATGTGTGTCTGTGTTTGATTGGTCAGAGCAGCTGGGAAATGAAGTTTAGGGTTTGATGTAGGCATGGGTTGGTTATTGGCATCAAAGTATACAGAGATTAGAATAATCTATGCCTTTGTAACCAGACTATTCTCACTGTATGGAGAATAAGTGACTATCTGCCACAGTTCACATTTTAATTCCTCATAAAATAACAAAAATAAGCTTGTTTGGAAATATTTAAAGAACAAAACAAAAAAAGTGGAACACTTAAATAAATATTAATTTAAAAAATACAGCCTTTAATGGGAGAAAATCCAGATTCGGCAGCAACAGATGATCGCCCTGAGCAGGTTCTGGTTTGAGTTTCTATATGCTAAAGAGGAATAATTCCTTTCTGCTTTTGTCACAAGCTTGCTTAAGATGAGGGATTGCTGCAAAGTTAACAACTCAATTAAAACAACCGTTCATTGTAGCCACAGGCTCAGTCAGGGGGAGGGATTAATGCCAAGTCAATGAGTCGGTGCAGTTGGCCAGCATCCTTAGATAGAGATCTTTTTCTGGCTGGCATTATTGAATAAATTTGGCTGCAGTGTCCTACTGAAAGCTGGAGGGTGGCTGCATGTATTTAACAAATTTTAAATCCATCCTTAGATGAAACTGATTCTATATTTCTGGACATTAACTAGATATTAACTGTATGTCTTCATTGAAATTTCATTTGATGTAATTTGAGACTAAATTAATAAATTGAATCAAACTGAATAGGCTTAGCAGTTATTGACATCTATGACATGAAGAGGCTTTTGTTTTGTAAGACATCTGTATATACAATAAGGAATATAAGTATTTAAACACCCTGCTATCTTGCAAGTTCTCCCACTTAGAAATCACGGAGTTGTCTGAAATTATAATTGTAGGTACATGTCCACTGTGAGACACGTAATCTAAAAAAATCCAGAAAATGCAATGTATGATTTCTAAAATTTTTATTTGTATGATAAAGCTGCAAATAAGTGTTTGAATGGCTGAGCAAATCAATGTTAATATTTGGTATAGTAGGCTTTATTTGCAAATACAGAGGTTAAATTTTCCTGTAGTTTTTTGCCAGGTTTGCACACACTGCAGGAGGGATTTTAGCCCAATCCTACATATAGATTTTCTCTAGATCAGTCAGGTTTCTGGGCTGTCACTGAGAAACAAAGAGTTTGAGCTCCCTCCAAAGATTGCGTATTGGGTTTAGTTCTGGAGACTGGCTAGGCAAAACCAGAACCTTAAAATGCTTCTTAAAGAGCCACTCCTTGGTTATCCTGGCTGTGCGCTTCGGGTCATTGTCATGTTGGAAGACCCAGCATCAACACATCTTCAATGCTCTGAGGGATGGATGTTGTTCCCCAAAATCTTGCAATACATGGCCCCAGTCATCCTCTACTTAATACAGAGCAGAAAAAACACCAAAGCATGATGCTACCACCCCCATGCTTCACAGTAGGGATGGTACTATAATCAAAAACATTTTGATCTCATCTGACCTCATGACTTTCTCCAATGACTCCTCCGATCATCCAAATGGTAATTGACCACCTCCTCCCATGTCATTCTGGGCTGATTTCTCACCTTTCTTAGGATCACTGAGATTTAGCTTGTTTAGCTTCTTCCATTTGCTAATAATATAAAAAATAAAAGGGAATATATAGCCGACCTTCAGATTTATATTACTTATAGTCGATATTTATACCGATAATACATTGCTAGATTTCGTGATATAAAAGTTAGCTTTCGTTTGAGGCATTAAGCATTCCAGCAAATGTGTTAAAAGTTTTAAAATGGTCTCCAAGCAGTGACAAAACGAAAACATTTTTTTTTTTTATCCTTTTGACAGCCACAGTAGGCCAGCCATGCGTCCTCCTGAAATTTTAGTATACTATGCTAACTAGATGTGATTAGAAATGTACTTGCGAAAACACTGCGTGATTCGACACATGTCCTGTTACAAAAAGGCACAGGTTTGCTTAGCAAACTAAATATACTGACTCAAATATGGACGTGAAGTTTTATCCGTCTGGCTGGAGTTATATTTGTATTTTTATTAAATTCAAGAAAAAATACTATCTAAAATTGGAAAATAATTTTAAAAGTGAAATAAATATATTTGACAGAATCATCTTAACATATTTATTTTGTTTTATTTAATGGGGATATTTATTTAGTGAAATGTTTATGCACAATTTATCAATAGAAGTATTTAATTTATTTAATAAAAAAAAAAAGAAACTGCTCAAAAATAAATACAAAACCTTTCAGGAAAATACTGCTAATTTGTGGGTCTTGTGCAGACCTAATTTCCAAGTCTCCAAAGCTTTGTCTACCTTAAACTATACATTTTTGGCAAACCAATAAAAAATCTGCATCCATCAGTAAACAAAGCCTGTTTGTTAATAGTTTAAAATTTAAACATTTACTGTATGTGGAAGAACTGCGTTTTGATTTGCATTTTGTGATCTCTTTATTCCTGTTGGGTTTACAAGTGTTATTTTAGTCTAATTTGGTTACCATGGGGACACAAATACCAGCAGAAGTAATAACATTTCAGGAATAATTGCCACATTAATCCTTTTGATCAAAGAAATCAGACTATTCTCACATTTTTATTTAAACCCTTTTAAATTTCAGTTAGGACCTGCTTTCGCCTTCAGACTCTTGCAGGCCAGAAACCCCAGAATCTGTTTCATCTCTCAAATCTTTAATTTCGCTACATTTCTGCAATCAAGCAATTATGGATTCAGCCGGGGCATTTTTGATGAAATGATCGATGCAGCAGTGATAAGTGGGAGTTAAACTGCAATCAAAGGATCATTCGTCTTGGCTATCATTAACAAACTCACCTGAGCGCGTCGCCATCGACAGCCTCCTGTGTGGAATTTTGCTCACACCAGGGAGGGGGCATATAGGTGTGCTACAAGGCCATGGATATTCTGGAGCTGTATGTGCAGATAACAAGCCTCCGCCATTCCTCGGGTGCCCAACCATGTCCATATAGGAGCAGGATTGCATCTCCACTTGAGCTGGGCTCTTCCTCTCCAGTGGGGAGGGGGTTAAGTGTGTAAAGTACAGAGCACTGCTGCAGGTTGAAGCTCCATTTTCTGACCTTTAGGGTTATCTGGAAGGTTCCTCTGCACCTTATTGCTGGGAGAAATCCCCTGCTGTCACCATGGAAACACAGCCAGCAGGGACAATATGTGCCGTGTCCAGCATATTGGCCATTTACAAATACTTATGCCTATTTTTCTTAATAAAGAGAGAAGTGCATAGATGTTTTTTTCTGATTTATTTAGAAAGAGTTTCATTAAATACAGACCTAACAGCAATGATTAACTATATTTTCTAACTTTCTTTAAATACTAAAGTATACATAGATCTTTGTAGGAGACAACAGATGGAAAATATTATGCAGTATAAAGGAAAGGTGAAGACACACAAACACATTCATTCACTGTTCCCCTGTCCCCCACTTCATTAATCCCTCATTTCCTTCACTCTTCTCTCCCTTCTTCTCACTTAATGAAACCACAAGTACGGCAGAAAATCAGGCCTCTAGGCTCCCACAGCTGTCAGAGGGGGACACATGACCCCATTTTCACTTGTGGAAGAAATATTAGTGTGCTGTGGCAAGAGACAGTCATCCGCCAACTCGCGTCTCGCTAACAGGCACAAAACAAACAGGAGACAAAGAAACACAACTCATCACCACCGGATTATGAGAATTTATTTAAGCAGAAACAGCTCTGGCACAACTTGGTGTTCAAACAAGGAAAAATGTGAACGAAAAATGGTTTAATACATAATGGTCAAATAATGTATAGAGACATAGAGAAGCAGAAATAAAAATGGACGGATTTGATATGATTGTGGTGTCTTAGTTTCTTCACTGCTTCACTTGTTACTGATTTTCTTGCACTTCTCAGCCATGATTTTTCATAGAGCTCTGAAAGAAAGAAAAAAAACAGGGAGCGGGAAAAGGAAAGGGGAGGGTGGGTGAACAAGAAGAGAAACTGTCAAATTATGAATTTGCATTACTGGAAGCAAAGGGGAAACTAACAGGAACCAGGATGCACCAGGAAAAATCTGGTCCCTCATGCATAAACAGAGCAGCTCAGGCTCCACACAGCAAAGAATAAAAAAAATAAATTAAAACTGTAATACATTTCTAACTGGTAGAAGTTTCTTTCACTGCAGGAGGTTATCCTTTTCACCCTGGAGACATGGATCATTAGTCAGGAGCTTCTTTAAAGAGAGACAAACTAACAACAGGGTAATAAGAGAAATATAATATTTTTTCTGACTACCTTTAACACAATTTTTATTTCATAGATTTAACACTTTACTGTGTAAGTAGTGTCAAATCAAATAAACTTTTATTATTTTAATACATTTCCAACTTACCTATGACAGAAAATATAACCTAATATGGACAAACATAAGGATTTTTACAGATTATTTTTCCATGTCTGAAATTTTCCTAATGTTACGATAAAAAAAAAAAATATTAACCAATTAAATTGGAGATATTGACCTGCTAAAGAAAAAATAAATAAATCACCATTAATCAAACTAAATATATAGAAAGATGTTAGGTTACCACATGTAGACTGCATGCAGTGATGTGAACAGAGGTAACTTATGTGAGGTTTTTTTTTTTTCTTTTTGTGTCCCTCCAAATCTCTGGCCTGCAGCTAAAGCATCTGCTTTTATACGACATTTAGAAAAAAAATGAGGAAGAAAAACACACTTTAAGTTCTAATTCAGTGACTCACAAGCTGCAGGGAAGGTCTGAAGTGGTTTATTGGTACAACAGCTTTACACTTCATAAATTTTGGCTTGACCTGTTATTTCTGGGGTGAACTGCTGCACAGCTCCAACAGTATTACTACCATCTAAGGGAGTAACTGTAGCCTTAAGAGAAAGTTCACTTTAATAACCAGAAGTCTATGGTCTCTGACTAATAGAGATGGAGGAATTACATTTTGAAATCAAAAAGTTTCTCAGTGCTTTCCTACCCTGATCTACATGTCATCATATTTGGTTTGAGAAACTATGATCAATTGTGTTAGAGACAATGTTACCAGGATAATGTCTGTGCTAATGATTTTTCTAGAGAAGTTTATCATATAGGCAAATTTACATTCAATGTAGGCTAAGTATATGTGTATATATACAGGAAATGATCTCATGGTGCAGAGACTGCAACATGAAAGATCTTCATTGCAGAATAAAGACTAACATACAATTATGTTTTTCTAAGAGAAGAGGTAACATAGTTTGACCCTTGATTGGAATATAGAGACTGAAAGTAGTGAGAGAAAAAAGGTGGAAAAGCCAATTGGAAGCTCCAATCCGGAGGCTAACTTCACGTCCCATTTTATCCAAAAAGCCCCAGCCTTCCCAAAACTATTCCTAGTAAGCTAAAATAGCCTGCTCCCAGTTAGATCGGTCGGTGGGGAGGTTGAAGTCATTGAAGCTGATCCATCCAACTATCTGAACTGTTAATGCAGCGAGCACCATTTGTCCAAGGCGGGGCAATAACTGGCCAACCCCACCAGGTGAGTTATTGATCCTATGTGGATATATTTCACCACGTGTGGAACAAGCAGTTGCCTTCTAAACCAGAGGATGGCAGCAGTGACTGTTTCAGATGGAATATGTCCTAAATAATTTGACAAATTATGGTTTATATACTGACAAAAACAATGACAACAAAAACACAGTGATTCACATATTTACACTAATACCAAAAAAATGCATAACTCATTCTCTTTTTATAACTAGCTTTCGTCTTTCATGGAAGAGAAAGGAAAGTTACGTGGCTCTGCAGGTCATGTAGGATTCTTCCATGTCATCAGAGAACAACTGCATATACCATGAAATGGGTTATGTGTATATAATACAGAACCAATAAATTATTGATTTATACAGCTCTGCTGTATAAATATGGTTGTCCATTTATCAACTCGGGCATCATTAAATTCTGGTCTGTCTTAAGTGATTTTATTGGAAAATACAGATGTTGTGCTCGTTTATCTTCCTATTGGTAGTATCTGGTTAATTTAGACTGACTGACATGCTTCTAGCCTCCCCTCAGTGAACATTGGTCCCTGCCTAGCCAACCCTTTGAGAATGCCCTGGCTCAGCCACTGCCTCAACCAGTGACAGTCTCAAGAGCAGAAACATTTGGGAACTGTTGGATAATAAGCCTAATCATGAATAAAACAAATAAGAATGAAAGGCAAAGACCTTAAAAAATAATTGTCATCTAAGATTATCCCCATTCCCTAGCAGACATCTTGGTTGATCTAAATTTCTTTTTCTGGCAGCAGATGGTGTTGCTCTATCCAACAGGGAAAAACACATCACAATGTTGATGGTGTGTAGCTAAAGCAATTAGCAATTGCCCAATTAAGAATATATGAGACACTCACATGCTTTAATAATTACTCTAGGCTTTGTTTTTGGAACGAAACTCTGATCAGACTAAACAAGGACATTAAGCACAGCACCACTGAGGTTGCTTTTTTCTTAAATACAAGAAAGGAATGTATATGTAGATGAAAAATAAGACTTACAGACTGCCTTTTTACTATGCAACACAGGGCAACTAAACTCTCAATGTGTCAATACATGAACAAACACCCAGTTGAAGGAAAAGACACAGGGCAACATGGGGTTAGTGAAGCATTAGCTCGTGGCTGCTGGGTGGGCTAGTTGGCATGCTAGGTGCCTGTGAGCCCGGCTGGCAGGCTGATACGCTGGTGGGTAGGTTAGCTGTTCACTTGCCAAGTGCATCCGAGGGCATCGCAGGCTGTGCCTTTGAATTGGAGATGAGTGGCAAATGTGACAAGGAGCTTTAGCTTTACTGTTCCACTCACGTCCAAAGGCATAAAGGAGGACAGAATTAGTGTGCATGTGTGTATAAACACTCGCACTGAGTGAAGATACTGGCTAATACGTGCAGGAGTTTATGTACAAACACTAAAAGTGTGTGTGTGTGTGTGTGTTTGTGTGTGGGCAGGATTGTAAGTGTTGCAGCACTTCCACATATTATGCCTAATGCATAGTGTATGAAGTAGCCTGTGAATTTTAAATTGACCCCTGGCACCCCCCACAGTGCAGACAGCTCAATTCAGTGCCCCAGGTCCAAATTTGGACTGTTGCCATCCACACTTTGATAATTTAAAGACAGGGTAAGCTTTTTTTCCGCAAGACACCTCAAGAGCAGAGGGCAGACAAAGATTTCACCTCAAGGTCCGTACTGAATTTCAGCTGCTGCTTAGGTACACCAAGCTACAGCATTAGCATTTTAGTATCAATGCATCCCAGGAATAGCTTAGATTATTGATGCCTTGAACACACATCTCTTTGGTGTCTAAATCAAAATGTTACTTCTTGGGTCATCATAAAGGCCAATATATACTATGCAAAAAAAGGAAATGAGCTTCTTCTCTCCCAGGGGTGCAGGAACAAAATTACATTATTCTGAACTGTTAGTCTTGAGTTTGCAGTTTGTTCTTGACACTTATTCTCAAAGGAACTTTTGTTCAAGTTTGATGACCCAAAAATATCAAGTGAATGTGCTGCAATGGGGGAGACATGTAAAGACTTTACAGGAGTTCTGCATTTGAGTTCTTGTGAATGATGAATTGACCTGGTTGAGGGGGGAATTACTTCTTAGGGTATGTATAGGCATTAAACATGGCCACATTAATAGTTTTCAAGGTGTATAGTTTTTAAAAAGGGACAGTTTCAAAAGTGCTATCATTATCCATCCATCCATCCATCCATCCATCCATCCATCCTTTATCTTACACGCTTGTCCCGAGTGGGTCGCGAGGGATGCTGGTGCCTATCTCCAGCAGTCAATGGGTGAGAGGCGGGGTCCACCCTGGACAGGTCGTCAGTCCATCGCAGGGCAACACAGAGACACACAGGACAAACCACCATTCACACACACACTCACACCTAAGGACAATTTAGAGAAGCCATTTAACCTAACAGTCATGTTTTTGGACTGTGGGAGGAAGCCAGAGTACCCGGAGGAACCGACGAATGCCCAAAACCTTCTTGCAGCAAGGGAGCAGTGCTACCCACTGCGCCACTGAGCAGCCCATCAAACCAATCCTACAATCTAAAAGAAAAATTCATAAGAGGTGAAAAAAGCATGACAATTACTACAGGTTTCTCTGGTTGTATGGAGCAGAGTAATCCAGCGCTATTCCTCACCCTTACCCTACCCCACAGACTTATTGCCGCATGGGACTACAAAGAAAAAAAAAAAAACATGTTGAGGCGGTTTTAAAAATACAATTGGCAAGCCTGTTAGGAACGGCATTGCAGACTACAAGTAGATAAGCTTACTAATTAATGAGATATAAAATGCATGCAATATTTCTTAAAATGTAGTCATATGCATAATGACAATTTGTAAACGGAGTCATATCACTCCGTTTTATAACTTTAGAGGGTTAGCCCCTAACGTTGGTGCTTCTACTATCTCTTTGTGATGCTTTTGGCAACTTCCTTCTAAAATATGGAATACATATAGGTAAAAGTAAAAAAATAAAAAAGGAGAAAATTTAGAAAAATCTAAAAATGTATTTTAGCTTGTTGTTCTTCCATTACTCTCAAACATTTCTAAATAGTTAGTAAATTTGTCCGGTATTAACATCTCATTTTAATTTTAAGTAGGTTTTTTTTTCTTTAAGACTTATATACAGTTTGATAAACTAACAACATTCTCCCTATCAAAATATATATTTTCATCATTTAATTGCAAAAAATTGACAAAATAGTAAAACTAAGACAATCAATTGTGTTTTTTCAGACTTCAGATTGCAAAAACAAAAAATGTCATCTTAATTTTTAAACACAAAATTAATGTTTGTATAAGGAAAGGGTTTAGAAACCAATCTTAGATGGAATAAACCCTTTTAT